TTTAAAGTAGTGCTATCCCACCATTGAGAGGTAGGTAGCACCACCGTTGGAGGTGTTCGGGTCAAGTCGAGTTTTAGGGACGTGGTGATCACCGGAGCAATGGGAAGACACCTTAGAAGCTACCCTCATGCCAGGTTCCCGGATCATGAGGACTTACTAAGACGTTTTCTACTCGATGACCACCTTTCGAAAGGCAACAGTGAGGCGTACCCTAGGGGTGGTGTGTGCGAATTGTGTGTCATTTTCAGTTTATTGTTTGTCTTGTCATGCAATGGTGATCTAACGATTCGATTTTATTTTTGGGCATTCATTCTTTCATGCATATTTATTAACAGTTATATATTTGCGAGAAAATAAATCTAACTATTACAACTGGCGCGGGTCCACATCGCCAAAAAAACCGAACCCGATTTGACTGAAAATAAATAAAGCGAATAAATAAAGATGCGAGAAATAAATCTAAACTTATTACAAGGCTTTGGGGCATATACAGAATTATTTAAACAATGTAAAATAAATGCGCGAAATAAAGACTAAACAAAATTAGGGCGTTGGACCCTTTAACAGATAATTAAAAATAATCAAGGAATTTAAAATTAAAATTAAATGAAAATAGTATTTTTGTGTTTTTTAGATTTAAAAGAAAAAAAGGAGAAAATTATTTAAAATTAAAATGCTAATTCTAATGTTTTTTAAGTTTTTTAAGAAAGAGGTTTAATTTCTAACCTAATTTAATTCTAAATTGATTTATGTACAATTTTTGATTTATGAAAAATAAAAAAATAATATTATTGTGAGAAAAGGAACAATTAAAAAAATGATATAAAAAATTAATAATTAACCTAATTCTACATTTTTTGGATTTTTATTATGAAAAAGAATTAAAATTAAAACTTAATTAAACTAAATGATTTACATTTTAATTTATAAAAGTAATCAAAGTTAATTATATTTTTTTTTGTCCTTTCTGTATTTTTAATGTCTTTTTATATTTTTGTAAGAATTAATTAAATCAGAAAATAAAACACAAGTAAATTTAAAAATAATAGAATATAAAGAAAATTAGAAAAAAGAAAAAAAAAGATAGAACCAGGGAGGTGTGGTCTCAAATTTGGAGGTATGGGCCTGGTGATTTTGGCCCATTTGCATTGTGAATCATTGACTTTTCTGGATCCTGTGCCAACGTGTTGACTTGATGCATGGTGCACTCTTCATCTTGGCCATGGATCGGAGGCCCTGGGACACGTGGAGGTTGAATTCTGATGGAGTATGGTGAGCATCAATGTGAGCGCTGCATGGGAATCAAGACAGAAAAACATTATGGAAATTGTTCTGACCTGGGACTTGAACCCAGGTCATGAGAGTCACATGCGCTAATCCCTTGCCACTGAGCCATTTCATTTTCAATTAATATATAATAGTAAATAAACAATATAAAAGAAAAACATCAACGCTCTTTAAAACGCGCGCTAATTCAAATTTGTCCAATCCCCTCGTGCCACGCCATCGTCCCTTCCATTTTCCTGAAACATAAACAAAGAAGGCAACGGTTTTTGGAACGTTGCATTAGGGAGCTTTTGAGAAAATAGCGAATAGGCCTGTGATGATCAGAAATTAGGCGCGAGCATCTCATTCTCTTCGTCCAGATGCCAGGAATGCAATGGTGTGACTTTCATGGGCTAATTGTTCCTGGACTGAAAACCCCTAAATTAAAAAAACTGTAACCCTAGGATTCGAAAATGGCAAGTTCTTATTCATGGCACAAAAATGAAATTAAACGCAAGGGTTAGCTCAGAAACTTCACATGGAACAAGAATGTACAATTGAAATGCAAAGAAGATGCTTAAAATGGAGAGTATGATTTCAAAAATTCTTCTGTACAGTTTGGATGGTAACTACCGTTTCTTCGCGTTTTGATTGAGGTTAAGGGTTGGGATGTGTTCAGTGATTGTCCAAGATGCTAATGGTATAAGAATTAGGGCTTGAAAAGATCCCTAGCACTGATTTCAGTTTTGCATTTTATGGCCAAAATTTCAAATGTCCAATGGCTTTTTCAGCGAGCTTTTTGCTATGTTCTAGTTAGGGTTGGACTCAGTGATCATCATAGAATGGAATAGGCTTGCTATTTGACCTTAATCCAAGCTTGGGAAAGAATTGGTCTTAGGGTTTCTTCCATTAACCATTTTTCCTATTTTCTAGCCAAAACCTAGACCTAGTGTGTAAATGAACCTTAGCCTGATTTTTGAGTTGGTTCATGATACATAGGAATTGTCCAAGTTCATTTGACACTATTTCATTGATTTTTAAATTTTATTTAAATTTTCAAAGAATTAAAATGAATTAAATCATCAAAAATCAAATAAAATAAAAAAGTCAATATTTGGTCTTGAAATTAACCATGGGCCACGTGTGTGGCATGACAAGGATGAACAAAGTGAGAAAAATGGGGCCCTTTTGTCAAAATTGGATTTTCAAGGATAGTTGACTTTTGCCATTTCACAAAAATTTCCCAACTTCTACAAGGCATAACTTGCTCAATTTTTAAGCTTTTCACATGTTCTTGGACATTTTGGAAAGGTCTTTGAGTCCTTTAACCAATGCCTTTGGTCCCATGTCATTTTGATTTACCAATCTCAAGTTATGGCCTTTGACTTAAAGTCCCTTTTTGTTGACTTTTGAAAATGACCTGTAATGTTGAAATTGATAACTTTTTGTGAGAGCATTTCTTGGACTTGAAGTATGAAGATGAGTTGTAGGAAATGTCTTTCTCTTCAAAATGAGCTTTGGATGGAATTTTTCTGATAATCCATGTGAAAGTTATGCCCTGGTCAATTTCAGTTGACTTTTTCAGCTGTCCAAATATAGCAACTTTTGCATCTTTGATGATTTCTGAGCCAAATTTTGAGAATCATGATCAAGCATTGATCAAATGATGTTTGTGGCTTCAAAATGATATATTGACCAAAAATTTGAACTTTTGACTGCCAAATGACCATTTTGCCCCTACAGTTGACTGTAGTGCAATCTAGGGTTTTGACTGTGCAATCTTGAGCTGAATGCCTTGAAACTTGGTATGAGGATGCTTGACCATGTTTGTAAGCATATGAGACTTGATTGAGCCTTTGAAAACTTCCTTTTCTTGATCAGACTCAAAACCCTAATTTTGACTGTATGGGAGACAGTTGAGCTGCACAACCCTTGGGGAATTTTGTGACCTTGACTTGACAAATCTTGATGAATATGGGAGGGCAAATTTTGGGGTATAACAGTACGTATTGAACATCATTACTTTTTTACAATTTCAATACAAGTCTTGTTATATTTAGTTCGCCATTACAGTATTTCTGCCCTTAAATCCTTCGATTTCCTTGCATTTCTTTGTTTTACTTGCCTTTAAACACAGTCACTTCGTTAGAAACTTTACTTTTACTTTATCCTTTTAGTCAAACACTTATCTTTACATTCAAGCCCAAGTCTAATTCGAAGCCTTTCCTGCCTACATTCAGTTAGTTTATTCCTATAGACCATTTTAGAAATCTTTCCTAAGAATCTCATATTCGAACTTAACATACAATATAAGTCTATCAATATAATAGATATGAACATGGAAATGAGTTATGACACATGTGTTCTAGGATCAATCTAGTCGATCCTGCAAGTAACCAATAATAATTAGTAAATTGGAAGACTAGCGGTTGTTTATTAGAAATCACTGTAAACACATAGACAAGTCATTGGATTTGATGGTCGACAATCTAGGAGTTAACCCAGAGGCTGCCATGGCGGAGTTTGAAGCCACCCAAGGGTCTCAAGCTAGGTTTCGCTTCTTGATGAAAGAAGTATATAAATCAGATACTGAGAGCACAACAAACTGTTGGTGATGACGAGTATGTAGCGTAATATAGAGCGTGTGTTATGAGAACGTGCCTATTGTATTTGGTTGACACTACCATTTTTGTGAACAAGAGTGCCACTTATGTGGATGTCATCTACCTGCGGTTCTTCGATGACTTTGAGCAGATCCATGAGTACAACTGGAGGACGCTTGTTTGGTCTACTTGTATACTAAGTTATCTGAAGGCCGTATGTGGAGGCGAAACATGTGACAAACAACATCACACTATTGACGATATATTTCTTGGTCTTTTAGTGTTTGTATGTCATTTTCATTACATTATTGCAACACCATTACTAGCGATTGATTCATCTGTTCCAACACTTTTCAGACTTGGATCCTTCATCACTTCCCATGTATCTCCTGTTGGTCATGTGTACCGACTTACATTAAGTATATGCCATGTGCTTCTGATTCGTCCCTCTTAGAAGGAGATACATCTCTGAATTTAAGGGCCAATTTTAAATTTTCATAGGGTATTTTTCAGATATATATATATATATATATATATATATATATATATATATATATATATATATATATATATATATATATATATATATATATATATATATATATATATATATATATATATACTAAGAAATTCCCAAAATAAATTGTGAAAGATTTTCCTCAAATTGGAACACCATCTCAAGTATATTTCGGAATTAATTTTGAGTTAAAAAAAAGTAATTTATTTCTTCATATATATATATATATATATATATATATATATATATATATATATATATATATATATATATATATATATATATATATATATATATATATATATATATATATATATATATATATATATATATATATATATATATATATATATATAACTAAAGTTACCAAATGTTTTCGTAGTTTGAAAAAAAAATAGTGGTTAGATGAACTAGTCACGTGTGGTTTGATAGTGCGCAATATGCTTGCAAGCTATTTGACTTAAACACATTGGTTAAAATTCAAATATACAGAATTTGAAATAGAATTTTATGGGGATTATGCGCTTGTAAGCTATTTGAATTTAAAAAAATGGTTAAAATTCAATATGCAGAGATTTGAAATAGAATTTTAGGGGATTATCATGATCCATATACTAACAACCTTTATCAGACGAATATCCACCCAGCATCCCAAATACAAATCCAACCGACTCTATAATTTTTTGTGCAAAAGTTTGTGGTGCAGGTGTGGGAGCCTTCTCAAGGATTTGGAGTGTTTTAACAACAATGCTCATATTAGGCCTTAAATCAGATTCATCCTGCACACACAGTGTTGCTACAGGTACAACTGCAAGCTGCATAATCAACAATATTTATAGTTACAGTTAATCTTAGAATAAAAGATCCAATGTATTATGGGTTAGCGATCGAGAGAGAAATTAGTTACCTTAGTAACTCCTTTAGGGGAATATTCTGTTAGACCCCTCATAAAGAATACTTATATGAAGTAATTTATTTCTCCATTTCCCCTCGCGTAGATACCATAAAGCAGTCCCGGAAGGAAACTGCTCTGATACCAATTGATAGAAACTGGCACTGAACAGAAATAATTTGGAGAATAGGGATACTTTATTGATGATAATTCTGGTGGACAATCAAAGGATCAGAATAATATGCTTACAATAGTTATAGAAAATAGTGCAAAATATTAGGACACACACCAAGATTCGAGAGCTTGGTTCTCTCCCTCCCCAGTGTCTAACACTCACAACTTTAGGATGATCAGAACACAGTTCTGTTTCCCCTTTTATTCCGCCTAGGTTTTGTAACTGTTCCTAATATTAATTGTTACTCTAGTAATAATAATAACTGCTGCCTTTAGAAATTTGTAACTGCTACAGATGCCATTAACATGACTGCTTATCTGCTGCTATTACTTGACAACATGTATCTTGCTTTATTGGTGCTCTTTCCTCTTATAAGTATTCTTTATGAGGGGTCTAACAGAATATTCCCCTAAAGGAGTTGCTAAGGTAACTAATTTCTCTCTCGATCGATAACCCATAATACATTGGATCTTTTATTTTAAGATTAGCTGTAACTATAAATATTGTTGATTAGCTGTACCTGTAGCAGCACTGTGTGTACATGATGAAGCTGATTTAAGGCCTAATATGAGCATTGTTGTTAAAGCACTCCAAATCCTTGAGAAGGCTCTCGCACCTGCACCACAAACTTTTACACAGAGAATTATAGAGCCGGTTGGATTTGTATTTAGGATGTTGGATGGATATTCGTCTGATAAAGGTTGTTAGTATATGGATCATGTTAATCCCCTAAAATTCTATTTCAAATCTCTGCATATTGAATTTTAACCATTTCTTTTTAATTCAAATAGCTTACAAGCGCATATTGCGCACAGTCAAACCACATATAGGTTGTTAATATATGGATTAATCCCCCATAAAATTCTATTTCAAATCCTGTATATTTGAATTTTAACCAATGTTTTTAAGTCAAATAGCTTGCAAGCATATTGCGCACAGTCAAACCACATGTGACTAGTTCATCTAACTACTATTTTTTTCCAAACTACGAAAACATTTGGTAACTTTAGTTATTTGATTAGTATTATATATATATATATATATATATATATATATATATATATATATATATATATATATATATATATATATATATATATATATATATATATATATATATATATATATATATATATATATATATATATATATATATATATAATTCAAATATACAGGATTTGAAATAGAATTTTATGGGGATTAATCCATATACTAACAACCTATATGTGGTTTGACTGTGCGCAATATGCGCTTGTAAGCTATTTGAATTAAAAAAATGGTTAAAATTCAATATGCAGAGATTTGAAATAGAATTTTAGGGGATTAACATGATTCATATACTAACAACCTTTATCAGACGAATATCCACCCAGCATCCCAAATACAAATCTGATCGGCTCTATAATTCTCTGTGCAAAAATTTGTGGTGCAGGTGTGGAAGCCTTCTCAAGGATTTGGAGTGCTTTAACAACAATACTTATATTAGGCCTTAAATCGGCTTCTTCCTGCACACACAGTGCTGCTACAGCAAGCTGTACATCAACAATATTTATAGTTACAGCTAATCTTAGAATAAAAGATCCAATGTATTATGGGTTAGCGATCGAGAGGGAAATTAGTTACCTTAGCAACTCAGGGGAATATTCTGTTTGACCTCTCATAAAGAATACTTATATGAAGTAATTTATTTCTCCATTTCCCCTCGCGTAGATACCATAAAGCAGTCCCGGAAGGAAACTGCTCTGATACCAGTTGATAGAAACTGGCACTGAACAGAAATGATTTGGAGAACAGGGATACTTTATTGATGATAATTTTGGTGGACAATCAAAGGACCAGAATAATATGCTTACAATAGTTATAGAAAATAGTGCAGAATATTAGGACACTGTAGCGGTGAAAATCGGAGATCAAGCTATTGATTAACTTGACTCGCAAAAGCAAGAGTCGCCATCGCGCTTTATTATTTCCAAGGGAAAAGGGAAAAGAGCGAAATAAAACCCTAAAATATGCAATGTAAAATAATACTTAAAAGTAATGAAAGTACAGGCATTTTTGAAAGAGATCGAGAGTTCAGGGGTTGGTTATACAATGGGAAAGTATTAGCACCCAATGCATCTGCGGTACTCCGCAGGAACCTTTTGAAATATCTGTTTTTTGGTTTAAAATTGTTTGTTTGATTAAAATGATTCGTTTGGCTAAAAGATGGGTGTGGACGAGATTTTTGAAGGTACGACGACCTAGTGTCGAAGTTTTGACTTAAAAGGTGTGAATTTGAAAATTGAACCTTTTTGGGAAAATTATCTTAAGTTTAGCAAAATAGTAAACAAGCAAAAAAAATGAATGAAGGGGTTCGCGCAATCGTATGAGATGTATTTGATGACGTGAAGTCAACAATTTTAAATCTTTCCCTTGGAGTTAAAACCATAGACGGATAAATAAGCTAAGAGTATATCAAACCTTAGGTGAAAATAAATCACAAGCCGACAGCATCATCAAAAAACTTAATGTGAGATAATACTCCAAGCATCAGATAAATCGCAAAGGCGGTGGATAAAGCTCACAGTGTCAGATCTGCATCACAAGAGATATACCGACAAAATCTAACAGCACGGGAAACTTATGTGCGTCCGCACAATTTTCAGAAGTTAGTTGGAATTGAAAATAAAATCATAATGCGATGAAAATAATATCTACATAGACGGAATTTATTTACCAATGAAATGAGTAAAATACACAGTAAAATATTGTGTACAAGTATATATTTACAATACCAAATATTAAATCAAGAATAGTAAGGTGAAAAGGGAATAAAGAAAAATTATAAATGCGCTATGCGAGAACGAACACTTGAAACAGTTCTTGGAAACCTTCACAGTAAACAAACTTGTTAGTAGCATAAGTGGTATAAAAATGAAATGAATGAAATTGCAACAATTAATATGTGTTAGTGATCTTTCACAATTAAAATCACCAAACAAACATAACCAAACAAAAAGATGAATCAAATCAAAAATTGAAATCAACTTAGATTAACAAAGAAGTAGTGAAATAATTGGCGACCAAGAGTTCACGACACACATTTAAACCACATTATGAATACAATTTCTCATTCTAAAAAAACAAAATTAAAATTCACAAAGAACTAAACTCAAGGTATATACAAATTAAACTCAAAAAGAGCAAAACAAGAATTGAGTCAAAGCTTTTTAAACTCTTTATAAACTCCGGGAAGAAACCAACACCTATCCAAGGAGGCTCAATAATTCCATCTTAACATGTTTGATAACCCGACACATCCAACAAATTTTATTCGAAACTAATTCTATCAATGTGGTGTCGACATCAACTTTACAACCAACACCATAATTATCAATAGTAACCCCACTCAAATCAAATGGTATTATCAAAAAGTCTCAATCAAATTAAATCAAACAATAAACATGTTGTCTAATGCCAAAGTTCATGATATTTCAACAATAAGTAAAACACCACCATTCAATTTTTAAACAAAAAGAAAAGGTATCGATATTAGAAACTTTATTCAAATTAAACTATATGGCATTGACATTAAAATTAATATAGACAAACAACACTTCAAACAACAACATGTTCTTTAAAGAATTTAACACAACTAATCACTATCCAAAATTCAATATAAAGTTAAACACAATCGTGAAACATATTTACCAAAATAAACAACACATAGTGAACATAATTTAAGTAATACAGAATAACACAATCATTTGGCTTCAACAAAAATAAAACTCATACCGGTATCGAAATGAAGCTGGACAGAGAGAGTATTGGACCGTGTGGGTTTATTATGGTTGCTGAATGTTGAAGCTAAGCCACCAGCAAACCAAAGCATGAAGTTCAAGGAACCATTTTCTTTCTCTTTTATGTATTCTCGCTCAAGCTCTACTACTCCATTCGTTGAATAAACCATTCCCATCCCTTTTTGTTGAATCTTCATCTGATCAACAAAATCACTATTTTTCGGCAATTTCAAGTAAAACGCTCCTAGAAAACTCTGTGAGCGATGGCCATTAAGTAACTGAATCTTTGGATAACACCAATAAACACCACCATACTTTCAAACAACTTTGTTGGCTCCTTCCAAGACTTGTGATCATTGTACTGCAAATGAAAGTTAGCAGCCCATTGACGCTTCTGACTCGTCAAGATTTCCGGATTATAATTCGCATATTTAACTTCAGGAGGACGAGAAAACCCTTTTATCATTTTCGTAACTTGATACTGCAGCCTTTGAAGTTGACTACCACCCTGTTCATTTTTCGACGAATAAATAACAGACGGCCTTGGAGTATTCATAGCAGCAGCGACCGCTTTAGCCACATCTTCCGTTGTCTGCATTAAAAACGAAGCACCCCAACTAGGACTACCCGATTCTTCCTCCTTCGTAACTCCAGACATTTGTTCCTTCCGTGTGGGTCTGAGATTTTTTTGCTCAGAAAGGCGGATGAAGGTGAGTTGCTGAAGTTGTTGAAGATTACCGGAGGAGTTGATGCCGCCGTCGCCGTCGTGGAGTACCAACGACTCCAATTCGTCGTCTTGGGAAGCGCGAAGAATATGATCTTGGTCCATCATTTTATTTCTTCGATTCGATTCAAAAACTACAGATTCAACGGAAATGGATTTTCAGTGTTTCATGGTGGAGATTGTGAAGAAGATGAAGACCCCGGTGAGAGCGAGTGGGGTTGAGTCGTGACTCGGGATTTTCGTTGAGTCGACTCGGAAACGGGAAAATGGATATTGGATTTGGGTTGTTGAAGAATTGCATGGGTATTAAAAGACTTGGGTCGTTGGATGATTTTATGCCAAAGCTTGGAGTTTTTGCCGCGTTCTCTGGTGACGACGACTTTGGGAGTGAGATTGGAAGTGGTAGCAAAAGTGAAAGTGGAATTAGAATCGGTGGCGGAAGAAGCGGGATGAGCGATTGGTTGAGAAACGGTAGAGAAGGGTTGCCGGTGAAGCTGAAGACGAAGAGAGGGAATCGGACAGGGTGAGGTTACGGTGAGGATGGTGTTAATGGAAGAAGCAGTTTTGGTGTGGGTTAGTGATGGAGGGAAGTATGTTTTACGGTGATGATTGAGGATGAGAAGAATGAGGTGAATGGTTGATGGTGATGTTGTTTGGTGATGTGGTGAAGCAAGCTAGCGGAAATGGAGGCTGTGAGTTGGGGTTTATGAAAGATGATGGATAATGCGGATTGAAAGTGGACGGTAGGCGCTGTGAGTGAAAATTGGAATGGTGAGAGAATGAATGAAAATGGGGTTTATGTTGAAGGATGAAAATCACAAAAGTGAAAAAGAGAAAGTAAGGTTCTCAACTCAAGAGAGAGGAAGCTTCGTTAGGATATGAGTTTTATAATATTAATGTTAACAAGAACAATGGATAGTTGACACTTTGACAGTAGTGCAATGTAGTGCAGTGTTTTTGGGGAGAGAGAGTGAGGTTAGAAGGAAAGAAAGAGTTTATTATTGTGTTGTCCCCCCTTTAAAAAGAAAGGAAAGAAGTGTTTATATAGACAGATCAAGAGGAAAATTTCACTTCTGTTTTGTAATTCATTGCTATTTTTCTGGATCGATCCATTACTCTCTCTAACAACCAATCAAAATAAGGCACAGTTTAACAAATAATTTTTATGACCAAAAAGCCCCTGAATGACAAAAATAAAATAAAACCTGAAAGTATAAAAAATAACTCAATTTAAAATGATTTTTTTGAATTTTTTTCTGAATTAAAAATAAAGACACAAAATGACCGAAAACGATAAAAAACGGACGAAAATTTATCCGATAAAATAAAATGAACACATTAAAATAAACTACATGTCACGAAGATTAAAGAAAAAATATTCAAGAAGTCAAAAATCAAAAATAAAATAATAATAAAAATATCAGACTAAACAGACGTTTAAGGTTAAAACGAGACTTCGAACTGTACCGAAAAAATAAAGCGAGCATACCGTCATAATCTACGCGAAGCGCAGATTCATAAAATGATCGATAAAAGGTGAAAACTTGAAATATTTTTCTCGCTAATTTTTCGTACATTGTTGAATCGCTTTTAACAGTTTGTCTATAAAACCAAAATATTTTTATTATCGACATATAAACAACTTGGAGCAATGCAAGAAATGGTAAACAGATAAAAATGAATGAAGTGAAATGTCGAGTATTTTTTTAACTAAAAGACGATGCAAACTTTGATTTAAACTGACTTTTTCTGGTCAACTTAAATACAACTAATGATGCAAAATATGATGAATGAAGATATTTACTAATGATTGTGACCAAATGACAGAATATGGTATGAATGTGCGACTGAAAAAATTAGGGGCGAAATTAAGGGTGCAACGGTGTGCCTTGATGAATCAGTCTTCGAGAATCCACAATCAACCGTACTTCGGGCTTGGGAGAATCAAAACCTTAATTGAGGCGCGACATCTGATGCTCTTGATCCAGACCTGTCTCTGCACATGACACAAAAGAAAACATGAACATACACCTTTGTATGCGATTAGAAATTAGTGATACATAGGCTAAAAATGTTCAAAACACTTGACAATCTTCGCATAGTCAAAGCTCGAAGGTGAGAGGTTAAAACCAACCGTATTTCGTGACCTTGACTTATGTTTAAAAATGCAAAAATAAATATGGGATCTTAGGTCAAAAATTGGGGTACAACAGACACACACCAAGATTCGAGAGCTTGGTTCTCTCCCTCCCCAGTGTCTAACACTCACAACTTTAGGATGATCAAAACACAGTTCTGTTTCCCCTTTTATTCCGCCTAGGTTTTGTAATTGTTCCTAATATTAATTGTTACTCTAGTAATAATAATAATAACTGCTGCCTTTAGAAATCTATAACTGCTACAGATGTCATTAACATGACCGCTTATCTGCTGCTATTACTTGACAACATTTATCTTGCTTTATTGGTGCTATTTCCTCTTATAAGTATTCTTTATGAGGGGTCTAACAGAATATTCCCCTAAAGGAGTTGCTAAGGTAACTAATTTCTCTCTCGATCGCTAACCCATAATACATTGGATATTTTATTCTAAGATTAGTTGTAACTATAAATATTGTTGATTATGCAGCTTGCAGCTGTACCTGTAGCAGCACTGTGTGTGCAGGAAGGATGAAGCTGATTTAAGGCCTAATATGAGCATTGTTGTTAAAGCACTCCAAATCCTTGAGAAGGCTCCCGCACCTGCACCACAAACTTTTGCACAGAGAATTATAGAGCCGGTTGGATTTGTATTTGGGATGCTGGGATCGCCCTCTTTTCAAATCACGAGATTTCTCCCGGTTCACAAAGAGGGATGAAAATGTTTGCAAAAAGTATGAATGCACAAAGTTAAAAATTGCACATTTCAAATTGGCCAACCAACTGCATAGTTCAAAGCAAACAGCATGTATAAAAGTCCAAGTCCAAACTAAGTTCCAATGTCAAACTAAACAAAAAGCTGTCCAAAGGATGTCAAGTACAAAAGGCCATCAAAGCTGTCAAAAGAAGATATGCAAATATCAGGAAAGTACAAAGTATGCAGAGAAAGATTAGAAGTGCAAGCAATATCGTTTCATCATTTCCCAACCATTGTTTTTTCAGAACTAAAGTACACATAACATTATTTTAATGTTTTAATTTGTACTAGAGAGAGGGAAGAGAGAGGAGAAGTTAGGCTTACTGGCTTTTGGCTTTAGACATAAAGATATAAAACAAACTGCAATGAAACAGTACGAAAGGGGGCAGAAAAACACAAGCAAAAAACATAACTCAGAACAAAAGTCCCAAGCCTGAACTGTCAAGCTTGAGCTAACCCTTTTCAAAACCTGCCTAAACATTCAAACACATGGCCATGAACCAGAAAGCCATAGCCATGAACCAGAACATCAAACACTAAGCTCAACCTGTAAACAAGGCCAAGCCCCCCAACCTGTCAAATATACAAACACTCAAAAACCTGTGTCAAAAAAGCTCAAACTGATGCAAGCCATGCCAAGCTGAAGCAATAACCACAATCAGTAAACCAGTATAACCTGCATAACAAAAAGCATACAAACAGCCATAACCTGTCAAGCCTTGAACCTGCATCAAGCTCAAAAACCAGTATAACCAAGACAACACAAACCATCCCAAACCACACAAAACATAAGCCATGCCAAGCTGAAGCATAAGCCTAAAAACCTCACCAAACAAGACTGCCTTCCAACCTGGCAAACCTCAAACAAAAGCCAAGATCTAGACAACCAAGGCCCTAACCATCAATAAATCTGTCAAGCCTATCACACAGTCCAAACACGGCGACATTCTGATACCTATTCCAGATTCAACCCGATACAGTTTTATACGGACTCATCATCAGAAAACCATACACCGGTTCCTTCTTCAACTTCTGAAAACAGTTTACGGACGCTTCCCAACAACGGATGCTGCTCTATTGCTTATTCAATTTCAACTTCTGAAAACAGTTTACGGACGCTTCCCAACAACAGATGCTGCTCTATTGCTTATTCAATTTCAACTTCTGAAAACAGTTTACGGACGCTTCCCAATAACGGATGTTGCTCTATTGCTTATTCAATTTCAACTTCTGAAAACAGTTTACGGACGCTTCCCAACAATGGATGCTGCTCTATTGCTTATTCAATTTCAACTCCTGAAAACAGTTTACGAATTCTCCAAACACGGATGTCAATCTATTGCTGGTTCAGACCCCCAGTTCAGGGACGTTCCAAAACATGAATACCTTTCTGATACTTGTCCACTCACCAAGAACATGCAATTCAACATTTTCAGATGGCATCTATAAGCCCATCCGCCTCAACAAACATTTCTAAATGGCATCTTTAAGCCCATTTCCAGACGGCATCTATAAGCCCATCCTCCTACCAGCAGTCACTAGATGGCATCTTTAAGCCCACCACCAAATGGCATCTGTAAGCCCATTCCCTCTACCATCACATTACCGAGTGCAAATTTTCTGGGCACTCTAGTGTCCAATCTCCTTTTACCCTCGAGTCGCGAAAGGCAAACTTGCCAATCTAACTCTTCAGGTCCAAGAAGATTGAACAGGGGCAACTGTTGTACCCCAAAATTTGCCCTCGTATTTTTCCTCAAGAAATCACAGCTTCGAGCTTTCCTAATTTTTCAGACTGGCTCAGGAATCGGTCAAACAGACTTTTCTCATCAGTCAGATAAAATTAGGGTTTTTATTTATTTTCATGGCTCTGGAACAATTCAAACAGTTTGCTTAGGGTTTGTTTGATTTTCGGCTCAGGTTTTGATCAGGCGAACGATTCTTTGACTTTTAATCAAGAACTAGGGTTTGTGCGCAGATTTCTCAGAAAGATTTAATTCTACAGTGCTTTTTAAGTTATTCCGAGATATGGACTGAGGCATTTGGATTGAATTCGCATTGTGTGACTAAACCAGTGAAAAGATGCATTTGGATTGAGTTTGCAGTGTTTGATTAAAGTCAGTAAAAGGAAAAGACATTTGGGCAGTTGTTATGATTGACTGTGCATTGCTTTGGGTTTGTGAAGCGCCAGGCTTATTAATTGATCGATGCTAAAAACCACAATGTTTATTTAATTATTTATTATTCTGAGTTTAAATGGTTGGAATTTATTTTCAGTTATTATAATTTAAAGAATTATAAATAATAAAGTAAACAATTGAAAAGAAGAAAAGAATTAACTGGTAAAAAAATAGATTTTTATTCATCTTTATTCTATTTGTTACAATTATTGTTTAAATACCGTATTTACTTACAAAGTATTTACAATGATAATTTTACAAATATTTAAAATGAAATAAAAAACTATCCTAATTTTTCTAAGTTCCCTAATCTTCAATCTTCCATCCCTTGCTACCTCTGCCTCATTGGATTTTATCTGCAAAGAATAAGAAAGAAGAAAAGTTAGAAGCAGATAAATTGAATTAAAGAGCAGACAGATAAAATTTGGGTTCATCATTAAAAGCAAATGGCCGGGATCAGTTCGCCCTCTTTGCAAATCACGAGATTTCTCCCGGTTCACAAAGAGGGATGAAAATGTTTGCAAAAAGTATGAATGCACAAAGTTAAAAATTGCACATTTCAAATTGGCCAACCAACTGCATAGTTCAAAGCAAACAGC